GTTTAGCTACCTATAATAACCCTGCATACCGTCCAGCTCTATACCCACCTTCACGTCACTCTGTTGACAGGTTTGAAGATGGACTTTATTAAATATCTTGTGCACCCTATCCAGCTCAGTAGATCTGTCGATACACAGAAGGGCTTTACCTGCAATCCAGCATTATTAAACTCACCCATTCTGTATTATCCAGAGGATATACTTGATCCATAACAGGAAGATTTTTTGTGCATCTGTCTAGCTGTTTCTAATCTCCAGGCATGACTTTTATTACCACAGCATTGCCCTTTTGGGCCCCTTGGGAAGGCAGAGTTCCTGCTCTCTGCTTGCGTCCTGTTGTCTGTTAATGTCATATTTGCACTCAGTAATTCATCACTCTCTTATCAAGGCTCCTCATCGGATCTCGGCCTCATTCATCAGACCAACCGCCCCGACCTTGCCGTATTCTCCCCTTTGTAGATAATATTTCTGTGCAGCACAACTATTTATGTGCTGTCAAATATTTATTGAATAGCAGGCTAGAGAGTGTGAATGTACTCAGCAGGCTAGAGTGAGGAACGGACGACGGGCTTGAGAACATCGTGGCCGGCGGATTCGATGAAGGAGCATCCGGCAGGCTTGCGGCAACCACATGTGACGACCTTGGGCTGGACTCCGCTTCGTCCACGGTGAAAGCCGATCCGGCGATTGACAGCGCGAAGTTGATGTATTTCCTCAGCGACCAGCACGGATCAGCTCTAGGCATGACGAAGCGGATATCGTCCTCTTTTGGAAGGCCAAACAAAGTAGTTTCGCTTTCACAACGAAACACACAGCGCCTTCACGACATGGCGGCAGCGGCAGCAACAATACTACAGCGAGAATAAAAGTTACGCCTTCTTTCTTTGCGTGAACATTTGGGCGGCGTTATGCAAATCTTCTCACATCGTGACGTAGACATGTGGGGGCGTGTTAGAATGAGTCGTTTTAGGCAGGCGTGGGTGATTCTTAACTTTTATGAAGAATATCTCTTTGGATTTGAGACTTTAGTCTTTGGAACTTTACAGATCTTCTTTATGCACCAAGAGCTTGTAACACTCCAAAGAGAAAGGAAAAATTTTAATCGCATCCTATGACCCCTTTAATAGCTAGTGCTGCTGTAAACACAACCTTTCAGTCAAAGGTGTCAAGCAGCATAGACTGGCCTTTTTCTGTTTCTGGTCTTGTGTCTATTTCTTTTTTCCTCCAACATACTGTATTGTAACATCTACTTTTTAAAATGAAGTCCCATCCTTTATTTTTACTCTTTTTACTATTTTTACTTTTACTGAATATCCTGTTTTACTCACAAATGTGATGGGCGCTTTCGAAACAACATTTCTGAATCTTTTGTTTCGAATCAGTGGTTTGTTTTGTTTCGGATCAGTGGTTTGTTTTGTTTCGAATCTGTGGTTTGTTTTGGTTTGAATCAGTTATTTTTTTGAATCAGTGGTTTGGTTTAGTGCTGCTGTAAACACAACCTTTCAGTCAAAGGTGTCAAGCAGCATAGACTGGCCTTTTTCTGTCTCTGGTCTTGTGTCTATTTCTTTTTTCCTCCAACATACTGTATTGTAACATCTACTTTTTAAAATGAAGTCCCATCCTTTATTTTTACTCTTTTTACTATTTTTACTTTTACTGAATATCCTGTTTTACTCACAAATGTGATGGGCGCTTTCGAAACAACATTTCTGAATCTTTTGTTTCGAATCAGTGGTTTGTTTTGTTTCGGATCAGTGGTTTGTTTTGTTTCGAATCTGTGGTTTGTTTTGGTTTGAATCAGTTATTTTTTTGAATCAGTGGTTTGGTTTGTTTTGTTTCAAATCAGTGGTTTGTTTTGGTTTGAATCAGTGGTTTGTTTTGGTTTGAATCAGTGGTTTGTTTTGTTTCAAATCAGTGGTTTGTTTTGATTTGAATCAGTGGTTTGTTTTGGCTTGAATCAGTGGTTTGTTTTGGCTTGAATCAGTGGCTTGTTTTGGCTTGAATCAGTGGCTTGTTTTGGTTTGAATCAATGGCTTGTTTTAGTTTGAATTAGTGGTTTGTTTTGTTTCAAATAAGTGTTTTTTTTTTTGTTCGAATCAGTGGTTTGTTTTGTTTTGAATCAGTGGTTCATTTTGTTTTGAATCAGTGATTTGTTTTGGTTCAAATCAGTGTTTTTTTTTATTTGAATCAGTGGTTTCTTTTGGCTTGAATCAGTGGCTTGTTTTGGTTTGAATCTGGTTTGTTTTGTTTCAAATCAGTGTTTTTTTTTGGTCTGAATCAATGGTTTGTTTTGTTTCAAATCAGTGTTTTTTTTGGTCTTAATCAGTGGTTTGTTTTGTTTCAAATCAGTCGTATGTTTTGTTTCGAATCAGTGTTTTGGTTAGAATCAATGGTTCGTTTTGTTTTGAATCAGAGATTTGTTTTGGTTCAAATCAGTGTTTTTTTTTTTTTTTGGTTAGAATCAGTTGTGTGTTTTGTTTTGAATCAGTGGTTTGTTTTGTTTCGAATCAGTGATTTGTTTTGGTCCGAATCAGTGATTTGACTTGAGAGTGTTATTTTTTCTATTCTGTTTGGTGCCGCTTGTGATACAGAAACTTGCTTACAGCAACTCCTCAGTATTTCAAGACTTTGTATTTCATAAGCATACTGTGTATGATAAAAATCTGTGTTGGATTTCATCAGTTGAAATCTGTGCAAGGATGTTCTCGCAGACGGCTGTGTGTCTCCTGAACCGAGTTTTGTTTTTGCTTAATCAGTTTTGAGAGTTAATTTGTTTTCTATACAATTATTGGTTTGCCGCCACAGTAACAGACTGGCAAAATGTTTGAATCAATCGCTCTGGTTGAAGGAAGCGATGCAAAACAAATGAGGACATCGCAAGATTCATTACTCATGAGTGCTGCATTTATATTTAAAATGTTTTTAATCTTTGGAGGTATTGAAATATAAAAAAGCACATTGTTTTGATTAAATGTGGAAAACTGTCATTTTTAAATTGGTGACAAAGCTGAATCTGTGAAAGACGTTCCCTTGCGATATCGGCTGCATGAAGTATGTGTGGTAAAGCAGCAAAATAATCACTCCTCTAATGCTGGTTACTTGTTTTTATAAGAAGCCTCTGTATTGATCAGAAGTTTACACTGTTATTAGAACATTAGAACTGACTTCAGACTGCAAATAATGAGATAAAATAGTAATTAAGGAGTGGAACCTGCAAATTACTGAAGCGGGAGCTATTTTTGATGGAACTTTAAGCATCATCCCTCTCTCGCTCTTTTCTTTGGATCATTCTTTTCATCGTATTGACTCGTTTTAATCAATAATATGAAGGTTATCATTAAGCTGCTCGGTATCCCATAATGCTTGATGTCTCCGAGCAGACTACAGAAGCAGCAGTGCAGGTTTGTGTGCTTCAGCGGTTGCTGTGAAAAGGAAATGAATGCGGTGCTGTTAATGTCAGTCATTTGACAAACACACGTGAGCTGTAGGCAGTCCTCATGCCATTTACACACACAGCTGTAAGCTGCCACTCAAAACCAGCAAGAACATCATAGCAAGTGCTGTTTTCACACATTATCAAATCTGCGTCAAAGGCACAACCATAGATGATGCTTTAGATATTATGCAATATATATATATATATATACTGTTGGCAAGAAGTTTGGAATATTTAATTAAGATTTTTTTTTTTTGACAATTTTTTTTTAGAGATGTCTTATGCTCACTCTGCATTTAATTGATTAAAATACGAAAATTAGTAACATATATTACATATTAAAAATATTTAAATTATTACACATTATTATTCCAATTAATATCTGTTTCTTATTTTTATATATTGCAAAATGTAATTTATTCCTTTGATGGAAAAGCTGTTTTTTATGAATTTTGCTGCTCAAAAAACATGTATTCTTATTATTAATGTTGTACTATTGTATTAATTATTATTATTATTAAAAACATTATAATAATAATTTTTTGTTATTTTTAGGTATATAATAAAATATTGTGTTAGTAAAAATATTATACTTTTAAAAACTTTTTCAGGATTATTTGATGAATACTGTATAAAGTTTATTGAACAGCATTTATTTGAAATAGAATTTGTTTGTGACATTATCTATACTGTCACTTTTTATCATTTTAATGCATCCTTTCTAAATAAAAGTATTAACAAACATATATAATAAATATTGGGGTCTGTAAGATTTTTTTTAAATAAAGATTTTTTTTAAATTTACCATTACTATTACAATTTTTTTAAGTCAAATGTGTATTTATTATTGGTAATATCTAAATATCACTACTTCTAAATTTATATCGCTTCATAAATTTATCTTAATATTTTTTTCTTTACATTGACACCAAGTAAAAGCAGTAATAATAGCCTATAAATAAATTTTAAAATCTCATACCGTTAAAATGACACATATTGCTGTGCATCCATATGGATTGATCCCTTTGTTACAGCTGGCTGATATGAAGTCTGGAAAACACTAATGAATATTTAACGCCTATATCCACAGGGGCTTCAGTATCTTTAAAAGGCAGGGTGCACAGCGCTTACCAAAAGCTCCTCTTCATCCCTTGGGGAACAAAAAATAACGGAAAACAGAGCAGGCTGAAGAAATAATCAACGCAAATTAGCATACTGTCTTTGACTCCTGGATGACACTGACTATTCTTGGAAAGCCTGTTCTAATGCATAGATCCTCAGTGTGCTGAAAGCCGTTATATCCACAGGGCAGGGGCTTTGAGACAGAATGAAGATTGTAGATGTGAAAAGAGAGAAGAAAAAAAAGAGTGTTGTTTATCATCTCAGCTTTCTCTCTTTTAGCACATATCATTATCTGCCAAAAAACATCTTGAGAAGCCAAGTCATTTTGAGATGAAATGAGCTTTACGGAACAAAAAGCAAATATCTTACTACCTCAGTATCAAATTCTTGCTATATTTATTCACTCAGCTTTTAATCATGACTCCTAATTCCTGTGTTTCAGGTATTTATGAACAGACGTTTCTTATATAACTGCAGTGCTCCAGTCCTGGATGTGAAGATTGCCTTTTGTCAGGTGTGTGTTCCATACAGGTAAATTAAAAGGTAGAGTATTCATTCACTTCCATTCTGTCCGTCATTCTTATGGATGTGTCATTGTCTAAAACAAATATTGGGGACAGCATGTCTGAGCCCTTGAGGACGATGTACAGCTTACAGGATCAATTCCTTGCAGCATCCCAAGCCATTCAGACTTGGGTTTCCCAAAGTGCATTAAGAACATCTTAAGATCACTTTAAATATGCATGCAAGTGATGCATACAGATGCATCATTCAAATTAAAAGCACTTAAAGAAAAATATATATTCTGAATCGTTTACTCACCCTTGTGTGTTTTTTTTTCCCTTGGGAAAGTGACTTTTGTTTTTTTATTGTATAATGACTTAAATTTCAGTATGTGGAACACAAAAGAAGATATTTTATGCTCTCCATTAAGTTTCATTGAATAGACAAAAATGACATAAGAGTGAGTAAATAGTGATTTTAAGTGAACTATCCCTTTAAATTTAATTTATAGATGTACATCTTCCTTAAGGAGCTCTATAGATTGACTCACTTGTGACAATATGACAATATAACTTTGTTGACCTGATTTATATTGTAACATTTGTATTGTAACAAGGTTGCAAAAGATAATTGCGTCTTTTTTCCTCACAATTATGAATGGCAAAACATAAACTCGCAATTCTAAGAAAAAAAATGTCTGAATATTCCATTTTTTTCCCTCACAATTCTGAGTTTACAGCTTGTAAAAAAAGGTAATTGTGACTTTTTCGTCTAATTGTGAGTTTATATCTGACAATTCTGACGTTTCTTCTCAGGACGGTGGGAAAAAAGTTGCAGTTACCCCTTTTATTTTTTTATCCAATGGCCCAACAAGCTTCCATAGACATTCATACTGTATATCAGAATATAATAATGATGCCTGGTTCACAGGTCAAGAGGGCAGTAGGTGGAGTTGACTAGCAGATAATAAATTCACTCGGTTAACAAAAGGTTGTAGGTTCATATCCCAGAAGGATCGATCCGTGAATAAACACTGTGTCCTTGAGCGAGACACTTAACCTCTGTGTACTCCACAAGGACTGTCACTGTAGTAAGTGTACTGGTGGTCACTTCAGATAAATGACTAAATGACAACTGACTCCTGAACCAAGTGTGTTTCATATCCCTAAATGTTGGGAAACAGGAGACTCTGAATTGATTCCAGTAGATATTGATGCTAGCATGTTGCTAAGCTACACTCTAAAAAATGCGTGGAAAACATGGGTCAAATATGGACTAACCCAACTGTTGGGTTAAAAAGCTAATTTAAAAATGTAACCAAAATTGAACCCAACAGTTGGGTTAGTCCATATTTGACCCATGTTTTCCACGCATTTTTTAGAGTGTAGCTTAGCAACATGCTAGCATCAATATCTACTGGAATCAATTCAGAGTCTCCTGTTTCCCAACATTTAGGGATATGAAACACACTTGGTTCAGGAGTCAGTTGTCATTTAGTCATTTATCTGAAGTGACCACCAGTACACTTACTACAGTGACAGTCCCTGTGGAGTACACAGAGGTTAAGTGTCTCGCTCAAGGACACAGTGTTTATTCACGGATCGATCCTTCTGGGATATGAACCTACAACCTTTTGTTAACCGAGTGAATTTATTATCTGCTAGTCAACTCCACCTACTGCCCTCTTGACCTGTGAACCAGGCATCATTATTATATTCTGATATACAGTATGAATGTCTATGGAAGCTTGTTGGACCATTGGATAAAAAAATAAAAGGGGTAACTGCAACTTTTTTCCCACCGTCCTGAGAAGAAACGTCAGAATTGTCAGATATAAACTCACAATTAGACGAAAAAGTCACAATTACCTTTTTTTACAAGCTGTAAACTCAGAATTGTGAGGGAAAAAAATGGAATATTCAGACATTTTTTTTCTTAGAATTGCGAGTTTATGTTTTGCCATTCATAATTGTGAGGAAAAAAGACGCAATTATCTTTTGCAACCTTGTTACAATACAAATGTTACAATATAAATCAGGTCAACAAAGTTATATTGTCATATTGTCACAAGTGAGTCAATCTATAGAGCTCCTTAAGGAAGATGTACATCTATAAATTAAATTTAAAGGGATAGTTCACTTAAAATCACTATTTACTCACTCTTATGTCATTTTTGTCTATTCAATGAAACTTAATGGAGAGCATAAAA